AATAGTCTTCCCTTAGTTGAAAGAAATGTATTAAATTTTTTTTTTTTTTTCATTTGTCAACTTATTCTCCATTTATATCTTGTCAAGCTTGAAGTATACTCCAGTTAAGTCTATCCACTTCAAGGCGGCTGGTCAAATTTAGGGTTACTTTTTTCCCCATCATATATATTTTTATATTTAGTTAGTTTCCTTAAATACCCTTTTATGCATGTATATACACACGTCCTACTTTTGGGGTTCTACTCTATCCCACGAGCCACTCTCTCCCCACTTCATCTCTTGGCTCTTCGTACCAATTCAGTGACCCTCTTGCCACTATATCCAAATTAATGTCTATTATATAAGAATAGTGAACATCAATTTTAAATCAATATATAAGATTTGCATATTTCCGTGCATGCATTAAAGAAGGCTCAATAAGTGAAAGTAAAGCCGTTGAAAGTTATTGCTGGTATAAGTTTGTTTAGATTTGTACCTAATATGACTTTTATTTTTGTTTTCATTTGTTAACTTATTCACCATTTGTATCTTGTCAAGCTTAAAGTACGCTCCTGTTAAGTCTATCCACTTCTTTGATTTATTTGGTCCTGTCTATGCTTGATGCTCGAGGTCCATAGTGCTTGTGAAGCCACATGATTGTTCCTCTCATGTATGGTATCAGACTCGGTTTTTAACCGTATTACTTACTCTAAACTGTTCTGGATTTTTTTTGGTAATTTTCTTCTATTTATTTTTTGTACTTCATTTTGCATGCCACGTAAGTCCCGGGGATTGTATGGGATATGTTCTTGAGCTTGGGAGTTTTAGAAATACATTTTTAATTATTTTAAGACTATTAGAATTGATGGGATCATTTTTAGAATTTTTGAGACTCGGGATGACTTTTATGCTCGGGAATTCCTCAGTTGTCTCATTTCATTTGAGGGGCATTATTGGCATTTCACACATATATAAATATATATATTAAGAAGATATTTTGTGGGACATTGGGGAGATGATTTGTTAAGTGAGGGCAATAAGGTAACTCTGTCAAATTTTAGAATCACTTCTATGGTGACAAAGGGCACATTTTGGGTTGAAACATGCACAATGCCCACCATAATTTCTGGTATCCTTGAACTTGCTACCTCTCTTGCATGCCTGAAGTCACTTGTGACACCATTTGCATACAAAGTGAGCAATGATCCAAAATTTCCATTAGAGAAATTGTGGGCACTTCTAGTTTCAAGCTATCCCACACTGTTGTAGGATTGAATATATGTTGATTGCCCAAGAGTTGGAAGTCAAGATTACCAATTAACACCTCTAACTGTATAATGGGGTAGTGTGGAGCTTGATAAATACGGTATACCAAGCTCTAATTTTGCGAAATTTTTTGAAGGGTATTTTGGTAATTTTTGTACTTATTATGTTGTCCAAATGCGAGGGTATTTATTCATTCTAAACTCTCCGTATCCGCTTCTGTTTTTTTATCGTCATAGTGAAAATCCTTGTAACCCTGATTTTGGATGAATCAAATAAAATTTGTGCGTTTTTGTGTGTGTTTGATCTATTTTTTGTATTTTTTGTTTAATTTCGCAACACTATAATCTCACGTGGCAAAACAGACTGCAAAGATATTATGATGAAGAAAACTTCATACAAATTATAGACAATTGTGGAAGTGAGTTGGATGAGAAGTTGAACTAACAACGCAACCTTTCCCACCAACCAAACCTTCTCATCATCTATTTAAACCCTTAGATATGGAAACCTATGAATGCTCAACCAAGCTTAAAACTCTTTGCTTGAATCTTGAGGCACTTCTCATCTACTCCAACAATGGCTCTTCACTAGCATCTATCCTTTCTCTTTCTGGTGTCATTTGTCACTTTGTTCTCGATGAATGTCAACACAATGCAGGGTGAGGCACGACACCTTTTGGAGACAACCTTGCCTGAGCTTCCTAAGCCTAAATTGCCAACGCTACCAAAGCGTGAGCTGCCACCGTTGCCTAAGCTTCCTAAGCCTGAATTGCCAAAGCCAGAGCCACCATCATTGCCTCATGTCCCGACTTTGCCAGAGCCCGAGTTACCGACTCTGCCAAAGCCAGAAGTCCCAAAACTGCCTGAAATCCCGGCTTTACCCATCTTCCTGATATGCCTAAACCCACAATCCCAACCATTCCAACCCTGCCTAAGGACTTGCACATTCCTTAATTTCCTCTCCCCACCTCACTCAACCACTACTCCTTGGATCATGTTACTTATTTTTCATGATAGAAGAGTAAACCTTTTTATAGTTTTGGTATTTTGTAATGTTCGATGTGTGTATGGAATAAGCCGATACTCATTCTATTACTTTCTTTATAGCTAGAGGAGATGGTTGCCCCTGCTCATTAGCGGTTATGTTTGTGTTTTTATTACATATATATAGAGTTCAATGTTCAAGTTTGCTTGTTTAAAATGTTGCTTTCTATGTCAGTTGCTTCTGCTATTCGAAAAGGTTCTTAAACATTAAAGAATGAAATTACATTTTTTTTTTTTTTTTTACACTTTACATAAGCACTTTGCTGAGTGCAAGGTGATGAGGAAAGATACAAATGGTCTTTAGGAAGGCTTAATCAAGATTGTTAGTTTTTTCCTTCTTTTCTCACACTGTCTAATGATCTTCCATCTAGTGTTCACAATAACTTAGTGAATGTGAAATATGATCTGTAAGAGCAGATTATGTTACACTGGAGATAGCAAAATCACCTTGAAGCCAGAGAAAGAGAATGAGGAATATGAATATTTCGCGACTCCTATATTCAAAATTTCTAATTATAATCAAGCATGAAAAATTCTTGCAGAGTGCAAGCGGCAGATAAATTAGAAAAACAGATAAGTGAGATCTACGTACTAGGAAAATATATAGTTTTTCAATGACGTTAGAATGTGCATTTAGAGTAGTAAAAGGTCATTATACACCCGAGTGATCAGTACGTACTCCACTTATATATATATATATATGTGTGTGTGTGTGTGTAAAACACACATAAAGGAGCTAATGCTATAAGCCTGTCAATCTCAAAATTAAATAGTACAGTGTGGGTAGAAACAAGTCTAGGATTCAAGCTCTTACAACATAATCTATCGTGAATTTTATATCTCTTTTCTTCGCATCAAATAATATTCCTGCTCCATCACATATGAATTTCACTGTCAGGAAGGAAAAAAAAAAAAAAAATCAATCTTTCACTGGCTTATATTAAGTTCATGAAGAGTTTGCTTCTGCTGAAATGTGTGCATGTTAAAGACTTCTTTTCCAAGAAAATTTTAACTGTGCATTAGCATAGTATAGATGAAAAGACAGATAGAAGAGTCCCACAACACCAGCAACAAATACATATATCAAGTTTTCAAGAACTAACAAATAACAGTTCCCATCAACAAATCTTTTTAATCCTGGATGGCTACTGGCTGTACTTGCATTTGTAACTTAAAATAGAAGTCCTAATTAAACTCGAACATAACACCTAACAGGTGGTCACAAGAACAAAAGTTGCATGAATTGTCCATACAGAAAGTCGTAAATCGATTTTTCAGCTGCTTCTATGCTTGAATCAAATCCTCTGGAACACATAGGACAGCATTAACATTGAGGTAGTGGTAGCATTGAGTGATATGGGGAGAGTATTCCTATAAGAGTGTTAAGATGGAGGACGACATGGCTAAGGAAGGTCAAGGAAGTGGAGTATAGGTGGCTGTTTTAGCACTTCTGGCTTGGCAGGAGACAACTCAGGCTCTGGAAAAGCTAGGACATAGAGCAGTGGTGGCAGCTCAGGCTGCAGTACTGTTGGGATTCTTGGGACATGGGGAATTAGTGGAAATTATGTGCCTCGGGCAAGGTTACTCCACAAAATGGCTTGCCTCTACCTGGATTCTGTTGCAGGATGAACAACAGCGGAAAAGAGGGGGTGAATGGTGGTGATAGGCCGTTGTTGGAGAAGACAAGTGAGCCTCAGGATTTAACCAAAAGGGGTTTGAAGCTTGATTGAGCATGCTTGGGTTTTCATTTATATGATTTTGTATTGATTAGGGACAAAGGGAAAAACTTTCAGAATAAGCTATTCTTCTCTTTAGGCAATTCAGAAAAATCTATTCAAATTCACATTTTTTTTATTAAAATGGGGACAAGAATAAAATGATTTTTTTTAATCATTTCTAACAAAGGTGTATTCACAGCTTAAAAGATGTAACTATCATAGGGAGTATGATTTTTCTGAATTGTTAGTGTTCACAACAAAAAGTCAACACTAACAAGATAAGGTATAAATATCAAATAGGTGAGTAGTTTTGAAGTTTAGGAGCTTTTGTCATGTTTGAAAATCCATTTTTTTCCAGCCAAGGGAGTATGATTTTCACACCATTGGTGAATTCTGGTCCTGCATATTATTAGAGAGAACTGTTTGTTTCTGCTAACTTAAATTTGGATCTTTGATAGATTCACAAGAGTGAAACTAGATTGTTAGTCCTTTTGCTTATGCTTGTAACACATTTCCCCTGATTGCATTTCTTGTTGTGCACATTTTATGGCTTGTCATCCCATTCTTGGTAAATGTTAAACATATATATTATTTTTCGGGAAATAAATGTTCGTGTAACAGGAAATTTATTCTTTTTTTAGGGCGTTGATTTGCATAAATGTGATCTATGGCTCAATCATCCAAATTTTCCAATTAGACAAATTGCGGGAAATTTTAGTTGCCAACTATGCCCCATTCTTGAAGGATAGAATAACCTACCAGTTTGAAGACTTGAAGTCAAGATTACCAGTTAACACCTCCAACAAATCCTACATGGCAAAACAGACAGCAAAGATATTATGATGAAGATTACATTAAAAAGATTATTGTAGAAGTGATATGGATGAGAAGTTGAACTAACAATACACAACTCTTCCCACCAACCAAACCTCCTCATCATCTATTTAAACCCTTACATATGGAAACCTATGCACGTTCAATCAAGCTTGAAACCCTTTGCTTGAATCTTGCGGAACTTGTCATCTGATCTGCTCCAACGATGGCTCTTCATCAGCATATATCATTTCTCTTTCTGCTTTCATTTGTCACTTTGTTAACGATGAATGGAAACACAATGCAGGGTGAGGCGCGACACCTTATGGAGATAACCTTGCCTGAGTTTCAAAAGCCTGAATTGCCGCCGCTTCCTCATGTTCCAACACTACCAAAACCTGAGCTGCCACCATTGCCCGAGCTTCCTAAGCCTGAATTGCCTCAAGTCCCGACTTTGCCAAAGCCTGAGTTTCCGACTCTGCCAAAGCCAGAAGTCCCAAAACTGCCTGAAATCCCGGCTTTAACCCATCTTGCTGGCCTGCCTAAGCCCACAATCCCAACCATTCCAACCCTGCCAAAGGACTTGCACATTCCTTAATTTCCTCTGCCCTCATCACTCAACCACTACTCCTTGAATCATGTTTTCATGATAGGAGACTATTATTTCATTTCATATAAACATTTTTATAGGTTTGTTATTTGATAATGTTTGATGTGTGCATGTATGGGATGAGCCGGTACTTGTTCTGCTAGTTTCTTCCAGCTAGGGGAGATGGTTCGTCTACTCATTACGCTTGTGTGTTACTTGTACTTTCCCATATATCTTTATTACATATAGACATCAATATTTGAGTTTGCTTGTTTAAATGTTGCTTTCTATTTCAGTTGCTTTTGCCATTCTAAGCGGTTCTTAAAAATTACAGAATGCAAAAACATTTTTTCTTACACTTTACATAAGCACTTTGCTGAGTGCAAGATGATAAGAAAAGATATATGGTCTATTCTTATCAAGTTTGTTAGTTTGTTAGGATTTAAGCCTTTACCAAAAAACAAACAAACAAACAAAACAAAATTTCATAGGATAGAAATGGAGTTTTTGCAAAATAATTTGCTGTCTCACTAAATTTTGTTTTTTCAACAAAATTTTCCAACTAAATATGTAAAATTTTCTCACAATAGTACAAATGCTAGTTTCGTGTAAAATGAGAATATACCGCATGCTGCCAACAACATATGGGTAAAAAAGACTATCACAGTAGCTATAAACTTAATTGAAATCATAGTAACCACTAACCAAATCATGGATTCAAATATTTCTATATTTAAATATAAACTTAGAATTTGAAAAAAAAATTCCAAATTTGAATATTTAAATATAAACTTAGAATTTGAAAAAATATTCAAATTCCAATAAGTACATATGACATAATCATTGTTGGGGGAATCCTTGGAAAAAGATTTTTCGAAAATCTATTACTTTCATAAAATGCTACTATCTTTAGTATTTTTAATTTTTTTGGTTAAGAATTCATTTCACATACACTTTTTGAACACATGTCCAACACTTTATATGTATGTGTGTGATCCACATAATATAAAATTTTAAGTTACACTACTTATTAAACATTACAAAATTCCAATAAATTCTATAAAAAAAAAGATACTAAAAAAATATATATATACATACTTCTCTACATCTCCACACAATTATAGAGACTTCGAAACTAGTACACTCATAGTTTGAAATACATATGCCATTCAATTTCCAATAAGCACTTTTGTGGTTTATGCATGGCTAACATTCATTTTAAATACGGAAAAATTACATGAAAGTCCTACTTTCATTTTATAGAAGCATCTATAAAATATCACATTTGATTTTAGAAAGTGTAAGTAGGACTTATTTGTCATTCTCCCTTGAATTAATCAAAGTTGGGGGCATTATGGTTTCATTGAGAGGCATGTATTAGGCAATCCAAAGCTATTATATTACATTTGATTGAGTCAACAAAAACATAGATATTCACCAATATAACTTGGCTAGGTGAACTTGCAACCTCATCAGAGACACTCAGAGGTATATCTCTGCTTCTTACTGCGCCAAGTAGCCAAGTTGCCACCATCAGTTCAAGGGTTCCATTTGCAATTGTGGGCATTTCTATCCCACTCCGTTTTACGGTCAAACAACCTATCAGTTTGTATGTAGTTCTATTGCATGGAAGCCAAAGTTAAGGTTAAAACTCATAAGTTACTCTCCATTGAAACTTATCCACAGTGGTGTAGCAGAAGCATATATATTTAACAGCTGAAGATATTTTCCAAGTAGCACATGACTAAATTTGAAGATACTGTGGAAATTTTTTCCAGACTACCTTTTTAATCTAGATGTTCATCTCTATATAGTCATATGAATGAAAATACTTTCATGTTCAATAGAAGTTAAAAAAAAAAAAAACCTTTTTTTAGATAGCATGGAGCACTTGTAATCGCTCCAAGCGTCTAACAATGGCTCATTACCACCATCTGACCTTTCGTCTTCCTCTGTAACTTGTAAGTCTGTTATCTATGGGTGGTAACACAATCGAGGTAAAGGCAAACCATCTTTTATAGATGACCTTGCTTGAGCTTCCTAAGCCTGTGTGGCGAACTTGTGGGCAAGTACGAGACACTGGCAGGCTACCACACTGGGTGAGTTACAGTTGCACAATCCTACGTTGCCTTGGTAAAAGAAAGGTGAAGTGCTTATATGTGGTGGTGTTATCTCCAATTGGTATGAGGTCTTTTGGAGTAAAACCCGAGCGCGGACAATATCATATATACCATGTGGTGGAGTGGGTCGTTGTCACCGCTTTCCCACCGCCAAGGCATGTAACTTAGTATATCTTGGGCACCTCCTAAAAAGTGAATGTTGGGCTTGCATTTTATGCATATAGTTAGTTTTATTTTAAATAAAATGCCTTTCAATGTTCCAGGTATGCAAATAGTTTGTTTTATTTTAAATAAAATGTCTTTCAATGTTCCAGGTATATAAAATGTTTTAAAAGCAAATTACCGTCTAGTAGCTTTTCTGTTTCTCTATATATGATCCAAAATTTGTGTCATTGAACACAATCCTGCTTAATTTACTGTTTTGTGGATGCCAGATGGACTACATTAGTTACATAGAGATTAGAGAGTCAAGTAGTGCTGATCAATATATGAGACCTCCTTTACAATAATCAATCAACAATGCATTAGCAAACTTTCTCTTATTAGTCGAGACGGCAAGATCTCTCCTAAATGGTTTTAGTCCCGTTAGGGGCAATATGGGTTTTAGCCTTGTTAAAGATAATATGGTGAATGTGTGTGCGAACTTTTGTAAAAAAATAAAAATAGTGAAGTATGGAATTAACTTGCATGAGTTGTTACAAAAAAATTATGATTTTCCTTTAACTTTTTGGAAATCCTACTATGTTTTATATTTGTTTCAAAAAATACAGCTTTTGTTTTCTTCAAGAGGAATTTTGATGGAAATACTTGTTTTACCATCAATGATTCTAAGAGTGGTACACTTTGCCAATAACTTTCTGATGTTCAAGTAATTTTAGAAGAAGGAGAAAAAAAGAAAAATTACTCCAGAACAAATTGTTGTAGGACTGAATAACCAGTTTGAATGTAAATTGCTGAAGAATTGAAGTCAAGATTACCGGCCAACACCTCCAACTAATCCAACAAGACAAAACAGATAACAAAGATATTATTAAGAAGATAACAGTATATAAATTATTGATAATTGTGGATGTGATATGGATGAGAAGTTTGAACTAACAACACGTAACCCTTCCCACCAACCAAACCTTCTCATCATCTATTTGAACCCTTAGATATGGAAACCTATGAATGCTCAATCAAGCTTAAAACCCTTTGCTTGAATCTTGAGGCACTTCTCATCTGCTCCAACAATGGCTCTTCAACATCTATCCTTTCTCTTTATGCTGTCATTTGTCACTTTGTTCTCGATGAATGGCAACACAATGCAGGGTGAGGCGCGACACCTTTTGGAGGTAACCTTGCCAGAGCTTCCTAAGCCTGAATTGCCATCGATTCCTCTTGTTCCAACGCTACCAAAACCTGAGCTGCCACCAATATTGCCTGAGCTTCCTAAGCCTGAATTGCCAAAGCCTGAGCTACCACCAATATTGCCTGAGCTTCCTAAGCCTGAATTGCCAAAGCCTGAGCTACCACCATTGCCTCATGTCCCGACTTTGCCAGAGCCTGTGTTGCCGACTCTACCAAAGCCAGAAGTCCCAAAACTTCCTGAAATCCCGGCTTTACCCCATCTTCCTGACCTTCCTAAGTCCACAATCCCAACCATTCCAACCCTGCCCAAGGACTTGCACTTCCCTTAATTTCCTCTCCCCACCTCACTCAACCACTACTCCTTGAATCGTGTTGCTTTTCATATATGATACGAGATTGTTATTCCATTTCATAGTATGTATGAGATGAGCAAATACTTGTTCTCTTAGTTTCTTCCAGCTAGGGTACATGGTTCATCTACTTATTATGTTTGTATGTTGCTTGTACTTTCCTTTTATGTTTGTATTATAATCTATATATATGGAGTTCATTTGTGTTTTCTTGTTTAAATGTTGCTTTCTATTTCAGTTGCTATTGCTATCCCAAATGGTTCTTAGAAATCAAAGAATTAAATATATATGTATATATATATATATATATATACATAAACACTTCTGATTGCAAGATGATGAGAAAAGATAGAGAGTCATAGATAAAACATGATCTGTATTAGTTCTCGTTACATGGGAAAAGGCAAAATCAGTATGAAGTCAGAGAAAAGAACAAGGAATATGAATAACTCACGACTCCTATATTCAAATTATAATCAAACAAGAAAAACACTTGCAGAGCGCAAGGGAGAGAAATTAGAAGAAAAGATAAAATAAGATACTAGGAATAAAAAGAAAATTGCAATGACATTAGAATGTGCATTCAGAGTAATAAAAGGTCATTGTATTGTACTGTTCTTGTACACGAGCCGATCACTATATACTCTGCTTCTATACATATGAAATGTAAAACAACCATAAGGTAGCTAATGCCATAAGCCTGTGTAACTGTGTAAGTCTCAAAATTAAATAGTGAGTGAGTAGAAACTACCCTAGGTTTCAAGCACTTGCAACTGAATCTGTTATTTATCTTTCCTTCACAAAAGGGCATTGAATCCAAGCTTGTATCATAACATATTCCTGCTCCATCACATATAAATTTCACTACAAAAAAAAAAAAAAAATTAAAATTAAAATACAAAATTTCACTGGCATATATCAAGTACATCTAACATTAGCATACTTGCTAATTTTCCATAGTATAGATGAAAAGACTGATAAAAAGATTGGTCCCCGGATGTATATCAAGCTCTCAAACCCTTCATCACATGTGATTCCGTCTTCCTCGTGGACAAAAAGGTGCAAATTTGCATAGTAAAGGAGAAATTATATGCAGATTAACCCAAGACCTCTCAGAACATGAGATCCTATACCATGTTTGTCTATCAATTGCCTCAGAAGCTTAAACCATCATAAAAGTAGAATATACATATGTTGTTACACCCTGAACCTTGTTATGCAAGTTTCACCAAAGTTGAGGGCTGATTAAAAATCATAAACAATATCTTCTAATACAAATTGTACTGTTCAGTCCCAAGTTAAAACAAAGTTGAGGGCTGATTAAAAATCATAAACAATATCTTCTAATACAAATTGTACTGTTCAGTCCCAAGTTAAAACAAACTGTCCAGTCCAACAATTTTTAACAAACTGTCCAGAACAACATTTCTGACTTTAGAAATTTAAATTTTAATATGCCAATCACAAGTTTATGCTGTCTTATAAGTTAAATTATTATTATTTTTTTACAAGACAAGAAATGTTAAAAGTTAGATTAGTAGGTGCAAAGAGTCGAAGCCTGACACTATCAAAATTCACAAGAGACTAACCACTGGGCTATCGAGGCATCTGTTATAAGTTAAATTATTACTTTCATATAGAACACGCATTTGGACTTTATTTACCAAAAAAAAAAAAAAAAATCATGCATCCAGACTTTGTGTTCCAGAGGATTTAATGCATGCACACATTAATTGAAGGTAATGAAAATTTGGAGATTTTGGTGAATTTGTAGGTTCCACCGGCGAGGCCAAAAGGCCATAAATCATCCTTTATCAATAACAGAGCAAAACAATTTATGCAAAGCTTGTTTCTTGTTTTGATTTGGCATTACACCAAAATTTGTAACCAATTAATCCATGTTTGGCATTAATTTTATGTGATAATCCTGATTTTAAGATTTTAATTAATTTCATTATTTTTAGTTGTTATAATTAAATATTTAATTTTGGTTGGAGGCTTATCGGGGACGGTTTATTTGATTTGGTTATTATGTAATTGTATATATTATATATATATATATATATTGATATTATATATATTATATTATATTATATATATATATATATATATATATATATATATATTGTGCAAATGTGATGCAAAGGAATTGCACTGCGAGACGAAATTAGAAGAAAAGAATGGAAAATTGATTTTTGGCGGGTCCCATGACTTGATTTAGTTTGGTTACTTATATATATATATATCTACTGTTAGGTGATGACAGGGAGATAAGAAAGAAAATGTTGGTCTAAAAAAAAAAAATTAAAAAAAAAAAACAAAAAAAAAACTGCCACCCAATTTAGAGGAATGAAGGTGAGAGACGAAAGTTTGTTTGTTTATTTGTTTTTGTTTTTTTTTTTGATAATCGAGAATTTCTTGAGACAGGGCCCTTCGGACCATCCCTAAGACACCAAATTGGGGATACAGCAGTCGACTTCACAGCTACAACACCAAATTAGTCGACGAAACTAGAAGGCTAGACAGAGGGCTCGAACACAAAGATGAAAAGTTGATAACTTGATATTTTGATGGATAGTGGCAAGGCCCGCAACCTTTTGGCACATTACCTTTTTGACTTTGATACTTGCACATAGTTTTGTATTGTGTAAGCAGATATGTAAAGATAAATGTGTTGTGAGAGTTGTTCTGTCGGTGTAGTAATTGAGGTACAATGATACAGTGAAACATCGAGGATAGAGAAAGAGAATTAGAGATACAGAGAAGGAAAGAAAACTTTGAGGACAGACAGAGCAGACAGCAGAGAGTCAGCACAGGGGCTGGACTTGAGGCTTTGATATTTTAATGCTTTATTTCTTTTCATTTGACTTTCCCATTGAAGGCAAATCGACGAGCGCATCGAGATTTACGTTTTGATCAGAACAAAGTCTAGTTTGGCCATCATTGAATTTTGAAATTTTGAGCATATTTTAAGACTTTTCTTCAATTAAGAGATAGGGGTTTCTAATTCACATTTTTCTTAAATTATTGTGAATTATTCTTAATGAATTGCTGTATAGTATGCTCAATTCATGTCGATCTTTGCAAAAATAATTTATTTGTTGTATATGTGATATATGATTATGTGTTAGTTGCCATTTTATGAGAAAAATGCCTTAAATGATTATATTTCATGCCTTATGTATTTGAGTTGTCGGAGATATAGTAAGAAGCATGATTTGTGTATTATATAATTTTTCTCCCAATTGTGTTTATGATTAAGAATTCAAATGTATAAAGAATTATGATGTTTAAGAGGCATGGTGCATTTATGCATTTTCATTGGACATGGAATGGAGAAAAAATTGTTTTAAAAAGGCAATAAAATTATTTTGAGAAAACGTTTTTGGAAAGTGTTTTTGAAAACCGGATACCTAGGGGCGCCTAGTGGTCTATGGTGTTAATGTGATCTAGAGGGAAATAGAGAGAGACTCTAGTGTGGTTGAGCTACGTAGGCCCAAACGACGCCATGGAGGTGCCATGTGGTCGGGGAAAGCTAGTTAACCCTTCCCTCGTGACGCCATAGAGGTGCTATGGGTCGGATTGCATTAACGGTTTGGAACGGTGAAAAAAGAATTGTTTTGGAAAATGGAGAGCGACATTGGCATGACATTACACTTCATTTGTATATTTGGTATATTTATGCTACAATGAAAATTATTTATAAGCTTGTAGTTGTGGTTGATGATGCGCATTCCCTATGACATGATCCCGTCTACTTTTTGCCTATTCTTTGCGCGGATTCACGGGGTTGTAAGAGATGTGTCTTAGACACCTCCTATTGAGTTTATCCTCACCCCATTATTTTAATATTTTTCAGGTTTGGGGAAAGAAGGGGCGAGCGACAACCCATCGCAAATTAAGACTGGACTAGAACTCTTATTTTGTTATCTTTTGTATAGAAACATGATCATGTACCTTTTTTAAAAAAATTAAGTGTAACTTATATAGTGTTGCAATGGTAGAATTTGTGTAAATAAATATATTTCATGGACTGTAACTTAAAGTAATTAAAGTGATTCCTTATTTGAAGGAGATGGAGGAACAAGACATTTTGCAAGTATGTGCTGATTTTGGAATGTTATATATTATTGCATTGTGCGTTGGGACAGGATAGATTAATTTTGAGGCCAAGTAAGACCATTACATTTTATATGTATTTCAGTAGGTCGTAGTAGGGCTTTTTCTGTAGAGGTCATGCCGAAATTTTTATTTTTATTTTTATTTTTTTATTACTATTATTTTTATTTTTTGGTCGTTACATTTTCACAAAGTCATTAAACTTGAATTTGAGTTTGCATTTGCATTGTATGGGGAAATTTTCAGTTTTGGAGTATGTCCGCTGAATCATGCCTAGAAGGAACAATTCGAGTTTGAAGACCAAATGAACAAGAGAAGGAAAGGGTATGTTTATCCAATTACAAAAATAAATAAATAAATAAATAAATAAAATTAATAATTAATAATTAAAATTAAAATTATTATAAGGATATTTACATAATAAATAATCAAATGATTACTAACAAGAATTTAAGTTTAGATTTGGTGAGTATTCATCTTTTCTTAATTTTTTGGTCACTAAAATCTAATTTTCCCAAAAAGTAAATCTACTTTCAAACATGCACAATGCTCACCATAATTTTTGGTATGCTTGAACTTCTTGTACCTATCTCTTGCCTGAGGTCACTGGTGACACCATTTGCATAAAAGAAAATGAGCTTTGGCTCAATGATCCAAATTTTTAATTAGACAAATTGTGGGCACTTCTACTTCCAGCTATCCCACCCAATTATAGGAACAGCCAACCAGTTTTAATGTTTGATTGCTGAAGGGTTAAAAGTCAAGATTACCAGTTAACATCTCCAAATATAGTCCCACAATGTAAATAAGACAGCAAAGATATTATGATGAAGATAACATTATAGAAAATATATATTTTGAAGTAACATAACTCATTCTTAAGATTATTGTAGAAGTGATACGGGTGAGAAGTTGAACTAACAATACACCACCCTTCCCACCAACCAGACCTCCTCATCATCTATTTAACCCCTTACATATGGAAACCTATCCATGCTCAATCAAGCTTGAAACCCTTAGCTTGAATCTCGAGGAACTTGTCATCTGATCTGCTCCAACAATGGCTCTTCACCAGCAGATATCCTTTCTCTTTCTGCTGTCGTTTGTCACTTTGTTATCGATGAATGGCAACACAATGCAGGGTGAGGCGCGACACCTTATGGAGATAACCTTGCCTGAGCTTCCTAAGCCTGAATTGCCACCAGTACTTCCTCATGTTCCAATGATACCAAAGCCTGAGCTGCCACCATTGCCTGAGCTTCCTAAGCCTGAATTGCCAAAGCCTGAGTTGCCGACTCTGCCAAAGCCAGAGGTCCCAAAACTGCCTGAAATCCCAGCTTTACCCCATCTTCCTGAACTGCCGAAACCCATAATCCCAACCTTTCCAACCCTGCCTAAGGACTTGCAAATTCCTTAATTTCCTTTCCCCACCACACTCAACCACTTCTCCTTGAATCATGTTGTTCTTTATGATAGGAGAGTATTATTTCATTTCATAGTAAACATTTTTATAGCTTTTATATTTGGTAATGTCTAATGTGTGCATGAGATGAGCCAATACTTGTTCTGTTACTTTCTTCCAGCTAGGGCAGATGGTTCATCTATTAATTATGTTTATGTGTTTTGCTACTCCACTTTTTACTCACACCGACTCTCATTCTCTGTACTTTATACAAATATTATTTATTTTTGACTGCACCCCAAATGCTCCGAGAAATTCACAGAATAACTATGACTAACTGTCATGATAATATCAAGGCAAAACATATAATATTTACTTTTCTTTTATCGATTTAGCAATGTTGAAACATATAAAGTGCTACTGTGCTAGTATGTCTTTTCTTTTCTTTATGGCAGTAGTGGGCAGTGGTTAAGATGGTATGACCTTGTCTTTTTTTAAGAAAGGTCAAATATTCGTGTCCTATTAGGGATAATATATTAGTAAATTGCGTGTTTGCTTGAACTTTCAAAAGAAAAAAAAAAAACCGTATAGTTTCGTAAGTTTATCATATAAGATTGGCTATCTCAGCTTCACTTAGTTGGGGCTAATTGAATTTTGTCATATCCAACATAATTAAGAATAGATATCTCAACTGCACTTAGTTGGGGCTAATTGAATTTTGTCATATCCAACATAATTAAGAATAGATATCTCAACTGCACTTAGTTAGGGGTGCAAATCAATACATATATAAATATGTTCTCAAGCTTTAATGAATACACTTGAACCACTAAAATGAAAGCAACTGAACTCTCAGGTGGTGAGAGAAACAAGTCCACTTGTGCACCATTTAAATGGTGCACGTCGACATATTATTCCTCGTCTACGGCAGGTGATGAGGCTTTGGTTGCTGATTTTGGTCATTTATGTCAACATATTATTATACCAATTCAGCTGAATCTCATGTCTCTTTAGAGTTGTGTTTCCTTAATTCTATCGTATATCCCTAAAATTTTGAATTCTTGGTTTGTAACTCTAAAAACAATAGTCAGAAATTCAGAAAACAGAGAACAGTTTCTAAATAACAATAAAAGACAGTTCTCTAAAAACAGACCTTTTTATAACTGAGTTCTTATAAAACAGTTTTCAAAAAAATGAACCAAGCAGAGTTTTTTTTTGCATAATTTTCAATTTTCAGTTTTCTGAGAATAAAAAATTATTTCTATAATTACAAACTAAACAGACTTAAAATTTCATAAAAGTTGAATTTTTTTTTTATTGATACAACATTAAGCAGCTTCGATGACGATATATTGATATGTCGTAACGAATATTACCCCAAAGATAAAAACAAAATATATATTTAGATGAATTTAATGCCAAGTCTTAAGCTCAAATGCTATTTTCTCCTCCTCTCATCTGGAAAGTATGGTTGGAAAATAGTGGGTTCCTGTCTAGGTGTTGACTGTTGAGTGCGTGTACTTACCTATAAAAAAATTTATTAATTGATGTTTCCATTACACCTACATATTGAATTAACAATCTGAGCATAAATCACTCCTTAGCTTGACACTCATCTTGAAGCCTTAGTAACAGAAAGCTCCACGTTTTTGTTGTTACCTCAGAAACTGTTAATACTTCCACATCTCATGCTTGAAATATATATGAGATGATACATACATACATATATATATATATATATTGATGAAACACCATATTTAATTTAGATAATACAAGGCAAAATAAGAAAAACTCTCTTTGGGAAGTGATGATGCACTATTATCTCTCACTGGTGGCGTATTACATATTTTTCAATTGCTCTAAAGTATTTTATTTTCTTTGGTTACTTCTCTTAGCTTCATTTTCCATTTTCCATTTTCTTTCTCTTGGAAAATTTGAGAAATTTGCAGGAAGGAGCAGCTTTGATCAAGAATCATGACTCCAGGAATTCGATGTATTTGTGTTTTCAAGAGACCCCAACTAATTTTTCAAGCCTGATCATCCATCTCAACTGAAATTTTTTTTTTTTTTTTTTTTTTTTTTTTTTTTTTTTTTTCACTTTGTTCTTGCTCAGTTCTAATAGAGTTTGTTTATTGCAATTCTTATTTTTCTTATGTTATTACTTAATTATGTGTTTGTACTGCAAATCTAAAAATGATCACTCTCTTGCATGTATACTGATTTTGCACATGTTATTGTGTATTCGTGTTTTCTCAAAAAAAAAAATTAACCAAGCAAACACTGAAATTATTTTCAGATTCTCATAAGAGAATTAAACAAGGACACTTGAAAGAATTGAAGTTTTGCTAAGTGGTGTAGGAGAATTTTGAGAAATTTATATATTCTTTTTAATAATATATATATATACACACACACACACACCCCTTTGGGATTCAAAAATTGCATGTAATCAAAAGGAAGCTTCTTGGAGGGGACTACCTGTGATGTTAGGATGCCTTCTACCGTTAAAGACACTAATGCCTATCGACAAGTTTATAGGTCTCATAGTATCCATAAATGAGTTTTACTCAATAATATTATGCAATAACCAATATTGTTACGTAATATCAATATTGATCTGAGTCTCTTGCAGTCGTTACCATGATCAATATCGCAATTGTGAATTTTAGATACAACATAGCCCCTAGCCAAAATTAGGCTTGGCAAGTCTTGCATATCAAATCGATGATTAGGGAAAAGGGTAGTTCAATTCTAACAATTGATGGCATAAGTTGTATCAAGATCCTAGCTCATAGATTATCATGTTGCTTGTGTCCTTTCACATGTCCCAACTAGGATCCACTGATTTCTGCTAGTACATTAGTGAACAACATTGTGTGACGTCAGTAATAAAAAGTAAAATATTAGAGAATCCTTGATCATCCCTCAGCTTAGACCCTTCTCTTATGAAAATATGAGTATACTTTTGTTATATTTGGCGGCACTGATTCGGCGCCTTGAATTTGGGATTAGAAAAAATTTAATACAAATTTTAAACAAAACTTCCTCTAATTTCAAATCCAAAGTACCGATTCGGTGTTCCCAAACATAACATTTAAGTTTACTTGAATCAAATAGACTCTAATGGTTCAATTCCATTCCAGGCTTTGAATTCAAGAAAGTGTAGATCACCTTCTTTTGGTCCATAAAAAAAGAAGCATGATATATGGAAATGGCTTTCAGTCAAGTAGGCTATTGACATCAAAACAAATCAAACATCATGTACAAGTTCTACCAATTGATTGTGGATCCTGCAAGTACCACAACACCCATATCATCGGTTGCTAGTAACCCATTGCCTAGGTACATTTGGTCCATAGTTTGTCCTTCAAGAAAGTGAGAGATTGCTTATGGCCATGCATTGTCCTTTTTCTAAGACAATCACTTTGTAGCCAGCTTTGGCTAGAAATCCAGCAACGACACCCCCACCGGAGCCAGAACCCACTACAATGGCATCACATTTGATAATGAAAGAAGGGTTAAGTGAATAATTTGATTTTACTTTCTTCCCATGGGGATTGTTTTAGAGTTTCGAAGACTATTTGTCTTGGGTAGTTCAGGTTGACGAGGCCTTTGTAAAGAGCTCTTCTTTAGTTACATCATTTTCTTGTTGTTGGGCTTTTGGTAAATTACATCTGATTTTGAAGTCTGGGTCAGGTCCACAGTAGCTAATTGCTTTCCAAGACTGCTTCTCATTTACTTGAAAAAAACAAACATATAGTACTTGAAATTTTGGTATAAACATTCAAACACAGACTAGAACAATAAGCCCATTAGCCAAGTAAATTAAAACCAAGCCCAAAATCAGGCAAAATTAGGCTAGGTGTGCCGCTTTGGGTTGGTCGGAAGGACGGTCATTTAGGTAAGGTTCAATGAGTTTATTCAACCGTAGCATGTCTTCAGCATCGTCAGCTCCTCTTGGAGGAAGAATGATAGTTAACCAAGAATAACAGCATATTGATAATGGTCAGAATGATCAATGGGATACTTGGAATATACCCAAGGTTCCCATTAGGGACATTTACAAATCTTTGACTTTCAACCTCAAAATAGGATACTCTATCAAAACTGTTGAACAAACTATTTCTCTCAAAAACCCTTTTGAAGTCATCCAACTTTTGCAAAAAAAAGCCATAGTAGAACACAAAAAGAAGTACAAATTCCTACATAAAGGGCTTGTCTAAATTGCAGTTAAACCTCTTACCTGAAAGGGATTTAACACTGCTATCATGCTTACTCTTAGAGATTGTAGGCATCTCGATTTTGAAACCTCTTTATTAGGAGTTTGCCAAACTAGTCTTTTTGATGGCCCACAATACTTCAATTGTTTTCCAAATTATTCAGTAGCTCTTGATGATCCAACAATTCTTCATACTTTAACCCTCAATGTCTTAAGTAGTGGTTATAAAATGATGGATGGAGCCATACCCTTCAATGTTGTCTATAGAATCCACTACAAAGTCTATACTACCTAAGTCAGCCCTTAAGTTCTTTGTGAGTCTCCCAAAGGAGAAACCCTTCTTCTTCATGCTAGTGACGAAAATTCATAAACCTATGTTCCAAAAACCATCACTTGGAATGAAGTCACTTTTCCAGAAGAATGGACTCTCGAGCATGCAGCTCCTCCTTCAAAGATCCAGAATAAAAGGTTGGAACAGATATCTCAATTTTCTGATGGCACAATAAAGGTTAGATTTAATTCTAACAGGCCCAATATACTTTCTATCCAAGAAATAGAAAGACCTAGACTTTCTATCCAAGAAATAGAAAGACCTAGATCCTCTTTTTCTCATGCTTCTCACACAAACTATTCAAAAGCCCCTTCCCGAAAATCATTTTTAGGAACACCTACAAGGTATCTAAACCTCGTCGGTGTCAAAAACAAAGAAGTTGCTAACCTAGTTTACCAGGACAATGTTAGCATACAGACTGAAGAAGAAGACATCCCTCCTCTTCGCCGCACGCCTTAACCTACCCAAAATGATTCTCAAAACAAAGGTCTGCAAAATCCTCCTCTAAATGAAGATCATCATGATTCTCCTCCATCCCCAAACGATTCTTAGTTTGAAGATCCCGATCATCAGATTCATCAACTCTACATGATAGAAAAGGTTTATGAGATCGATAAAGACTTCCTACGCAAAGATTTCTACTCTGCGATCAATAATTCCAAAAGACAATGGTATTTCCAAACCTTTTCTGCTCAAAAAACCATCCTTATTAGAGAAGAGTGGTATGCTTTCTGTATACACCACAAGTTCTTAGCCCCTTTCTTCACATGGTTTGAAAAATATTGTCTCGACAACAATACTGATTTTCCTTTCTCCACAATCAAATCCTTAAATGTCAGAACTAAATCCACCACTACCTGGCAAACATCCCGTGGTGATGCCATTGAAGCCATCCATCCCCCAGCCGAGGCAATCGAATTCAACACAAAGGCATCAGGAACGGTCACATTTACTGCTTCTCCTTTCAAGACAAAAGCAGTAGCCAACGACAATACCCCATCCACAACCCGTGATGTTCGGAGCATTATGGAACAAAGTAACTACACGAACCAGCACCTCCAGACACTTGGCGATCAGCTTTCCCGTGTGGAAACCTTGCTTCAGAAAGAACAAATCATCCCCATCCAATCTGATAATGCTCCCCCTTTCATACCCCATGAAATCCCCCTACACTTGTCTAAACAACTATCAAAGCGTAGTGCCATTGAAGAAGCGCAGGACATGATTAAGCGTATCGAATCCTGACCTCTATGACTACAATTCCTTATACGCCTGAAAGACCTCTTAGAGCCATCAATACTCTTGACTAAGAAATTGGTACTGATACTGAAATTGATGAAATTACTGAGATCTTCTAGAACCAGCACGTCAATACCTTAGATCCAATTTCTTCCCGAAACTATTATCCCAGGCCTACTTTCCCTGACCTCCAGATCGAAGAACGAGCCAGTTCTCCCAAGCTGCTTATCATGGTGGCACCATTTGTGAATGGAACATAGATGGCAAAACTGAGTATCACATTCTCAATACACTTCAAGAAATGACAATGGTTAGCACTTCTTACAAAACCAAGAATGACTCTTTTGATCATACTATAGCACAACTCTTAATAGGAGGATTCACAGGCCAACTCAAAGGAAGGTGGGACAACATCCTCACTCCAGATAAAAGACATGCCATTCTTCACTCTGTTAAAATAACTCCTGAAGGAACAGTTATCAAAACAGAAGAAGGTGCAGATATAGAAGATGCAGTTGCTACTCTCATTTTCTCTATCGCTAAACAATTCCTCGGTGACCTCTCAATTGTTAGAGACAAAACCTCAGAGATCCTAGCCAACCTTAGATGGCGCAAACTCTAGGATTTCAGATGGTACAAGGATGTTTTCCTCTCAAAGGTCCTCACCGGGACTGATTGTAACCAAGCCTTTTGGAAAGAAAAGTTTATTGCTGGACTCCCAAATTTTTTGCTGAAAGAATTCACAAGCATTTCAGATCAAAACACAATGGCCATATTCCTTATGATTCCCTCACCTATGGTGATATCATCAGTACCATCATAGTTGAAGGAATTGCTCTCTATACTGATTTCAAGCTCCAACAGCAAATCAAGCATGAGAATGCCACTAGTAGAAAGTAATTAGGAACTTTTTGCCAACAATTCGACTTCGAAAACCTAACCCCTCATTCCAAACGAAAAAGTCACACTTGCTACAGGAAGCATTTTCTCAAGAGATACGAAAACAGGTCACGGTATAACAAGAACAAGCCATCCTTTGCAGATAAATATCTCTCCTCTGAGAAAAATAGATAAAAAAATGCCCTTTCTCCAAAACATTTTCAAAAGAAGCCTGTCACTTCAAAAGCAGAAATAAAATACTTCAAGTGTGGCAAGATGGGTCACTACAAATGCGATTGCAGGACCAAACAGAAGATCAATGAGCTTGATCTCCCCGAAACCGTCAGAAGCCAACGGATACAAATTCTTTTAAACTCTTCAGATGAAGAATCCGAACATGATATCAATGGTATTCAAGAAGATGACTATCATACTGATACAGATTATGATTCTGATTCTTCCAACCCATCTTTGGATGACCAACCTATCAAAACCAAAAGCATTTTGACTTTCTCAAACAAGAACTGATCTTCAAACAGATTGATG